CATGTAAATGTTGGTGTGTCTTATACACCGAATACAGCCATTTTTGGCATCCCAAAGCCCTGCCTCACATCCCATTTTTGCAAAAAACAGGCCATTTTTTTCAAAAATGGAGGCGTTTTTGCCTGCCCCCAGCAGCATTCTGCGGGCTTCAGCAGGGCGTGGGGGAAGCAAGAATGTCCCCCGTTTTTGTGAAAAGCAGCCCATTTTCCGCCCGTTTTTTGCAAATACAGGGTCATTTTTGCCTTCCCCCATCCCTGCTGAAGCCTGTAGAGTGCTCCTGGGGGCCGGGAAGGGCAAAAGCCTTTTTTTTCTTATTTACATATTCAAAATTTTGGTGGGCGACTTATATACCTGTGCATCTTATAGTCCGAAAAATATGGTATGCTGATTTAGGTCTGAGCTAACTATGAGTAACCATAAAAGAGATCTTGGATTCATAGTGAATAGCTCATAATTTTAAAGTTAAATTCCATGGTATGGATCATAGGAAGAGAGTTGAAAATAAAAGCAAACAATATTGTAATGGCATACACATTTATTGTAGAACTGTATCTAGAATGCTGTGTCTGTTTGCCACATCTGCAAAGCAGTATTATAAAGATGGAAGACGTATAGGAGATAGCTGTCAAAATTGCCATGTGGATTGAACTCTTCTGTGAGAAAAAGCTATAACATTTGTGGGGGGAAATGTAACTGATGGAGTCAGTTGTGTAAAATAATGCATTATTTGGAGGGATCTCTTTCAAAAATTGCTGAATGGAATGAGATTTAGAACAGGATCATTTTTTACACTTAACGACTGCTGCAGCATTTCCATGGTTATGTGATCATCTTTACCTTGTGCATTTGTGAAAATTTTAAAAAGTGGTGATAGCTACTGACTTTGATGGCTTTAAAAGGGAATTGGATAATCTCATGGGGTACAAGCCTCTTACGTTAACTCCAGGTTTTTGAGGGGGAGTTGAGGAGGCAGCATATCATTTGCAGGGGAATAGTAGCTGGACAGGAGTGAACCAAAGGTGAACATGGCTTCTTTGAGACATCAATTTTGATAGCAAAAGAGTAGGCTGCTGTTGCATAAGTCCAGCAAGGTAGCCAGAGCCACACCTTTCTGTGTGCAGTCTCTGTTCTCTGCATGGGAATAAATTTGTTCCTGTAGGCTTTTTTCAACTAAAGAACACACACACACACCCTTCGATGGCACTTTATACAGGTATGTTTGTTAATTTTATGATACAGAAATATCAAAAATATCAGTTAAAAATAATGGGTGATTTTCTACATCACATTAAGCCATTACTGGCCTAAGGCTTACTGAATAAGACATAATTAGCTAGGCCATTAATTCTAACTATGGCTAATATATTAAGCACTTTCAAGGTTCTGAGGTTCAAATAATCCCCATTCATTTAATGAAAATAGTTTAATGAATGTAAAAGAGAAAAATGAAAGAAATAGGCTAAATTTAAAATGACATTGCCAATTAGCATTGCCCAACTAGCATTTTTGCAGTGGGGTTTAGAAGCAAAAGTTAAGAAAAACAACAGGAAATAAAAACAGCAAAACTCCACAAGATTACTTTGGTATTTCAAAGACTGAGGAGAGTATAGAAAATCTAAGAAGAAAGCTAATAGGTACTTACAGTATAATGGTCATAAACAAAAGAAAGCATAAGGTACCATCTTGACATCTTAAGATTTTCTTACAAAACAAGGGACCCCTTGAATCACAAGGAACCACTGAGTGCATAGTCTATTAGAAAGTGTGTGCCCAATCAGTGTAAAGAGACCAAAACAACATCTGGCAACATTTCTCTTCTT